TTCTAGTTCTGTTCTAGTTCTGTTCTAGTTCTGCTCTAGTTCTGTTCTAGTTCTGTTCTAGTTCTGTTCTAGTTCTGTTCTAGTTCTGTTCTAGTTCTGTTCTAGTTCTGTTCTAGTTCTGTTCTAGTTCTGTTCTAGTTCTGTTCTAGTTCTGTTCTAGTTCTGTTCTAGTTCTGTTCTAGTTCTGTTCTAGTTCTGTTTTAGTTCTGTTCAAGTTCTGTTCTAGTTCTGTTCTAGTTCTGTTCTACTTCTGTTCTATTCTGTTCTATTTCTGTTCTAGTTCTGTTCTAGTTCTGTTCTAGTTCTGTTCTAGTTTGTTCTAGTTCTGTTCTAGTTCTGTTCTAGTTCTGTTCTAGTTCTGTTCTAGTTCTGTTCTAGTTCTGTTCTAGTTCTGTTCTAGTTCTGTTCTAGTTCTGTTCTAGTTGTTCTAGTTCTGTTCTAGTTTGTTCTAGTTCTGTTCTAGTTCTGTTCTAGTTCTGTTCTAGTTCTGTTCTAGTTCTGTTCTAGTTCTGTTCTGTTTCTAGTTCTGTTCTAGTTCTGTTCTAGTTCTGTTCTAGTTCTAGTTCTGTTCTAGTTCTGTTCTAGTTCTGTTCTAGTTTTGTTCTAGTTCTGTTCTAGTTCTGTTCTAGTTCTGTTCTAGTTCTGTTTTAGTTCTGTTCTAGTTCTGTTCTAGTTCTGTTCTACTATTGTTCTACTTCTGTTCTATTTCTGTTCTAGTTCTGTTCTAGTTCTGTTCTATTTCCGCTCTAGTTCTGTTCTAGTTCTATTCTAGTTCTATTCTAGTTCTGTTCTAGTTCTGTTCTAGTTCTGTTCTACTATTGTTCTACTTCTGTTCTATTTCTGTTCTAGTTCTGTTCTAGTTCTGTTCTATTTCCGCTCTAGTTCTGTTCTAGTTCTGTTCTAGTTCTGTTCTAGTTCTGTTCTAGTTCTGTTCTAGTTCTGTTCTAGTTCTGTTCTAGTTCTGTTCTAGTTCTGTTCTAGTCTGTTCTAGTTCTGTTCTAGTTCTGTTCTAGTTCTGTTCTAGTTCTGTTCTAGTTCTGTTCTAGTTCTGTCTAGTTCTGTTCTAGTTCTGTTCTAGTTCTGTTCTAGTTCTGTTCTAGTTCTGTTCTAGTTCTGTTCTAGTTCTGTTCTAGTTCTGTTCTAGTTCTGTTCTAGTTCTGTTCTAGTTCTGTTCTAGTTCTGTTCTAGTTCTGTTCTAGTTCTGTTCTAGTTCTGTTCTAGTTCTGTTCTAGTTCTGTTCTAGTTTGTTCTAGTTCTGTTCTAGTTCTGTTCTAGTTCTGTTCTAGTTCTGTTCTAGTTCTGTTCTAGTTCTGTTTTAGTTCTGTTCAAGTTCTGTTCTAGTTCTGTTCTAGTTCTGTTCTACTTCTGTTCTACTTCTGTTCTATTTCTGTTCTAGTTCTGTTCTAGTTCTGTTCTACTTCTGTTCTACTTCTGTTCTATTTCTGTTCTAGTTCTGTTCTAGTTCTGTTCTAGTTCTGTTCTAGTTCTGTTCTAGTTCTGTTCTAGTTCTGTTTTAGTTCTGTTCTAGTTCTGTTCTAGTTCTGTTCTACTATTGTTCTACTTCTGTTCTATTTCTGTTCTAGTTCTGTTCTACTTCTGTTCTATTTCTGTTCTACTTCTGTTCTATTTCTGTTCTAGTTCTGTTCTAGTTCTGTTCTATTTCCGCTCTAGTTCTGTTCTAGTTCTATTCTAGTTCTATTCTAGTTCAGTTCTAGTTCAGTTCTAGTTCAGTTCTAGTTCAGTTCTAGTTCAGTTCTAGTTCAGTTCTAGTTCTGTTCTAGTACAGTTCCAGTTCAGTTCTAGTTCTGTTCTAGTCTGTTCTAGTTCTGTTCTAGTTCTGTTCTAGTTCTGTTCTAGTTCTGTTCTAGTTCTGTTCTAGTTCTGTTCTAGTTCTGTTCTAGTTCTGTTCTAGTTCTGTTCTAGTTCTGTTCTAGTTCTGTTCTAGTTCTGTTCTAGTTCTGTTCTAGTTCTGTTCTAGTTCTGTTCTAGTTCTGTTCTAGTTCTGTTCTAGTTCTGTTCTAGTTCTGTTCTAGTTCTGTTCTAGTTCTGTTCTAGTTCTGTTCTAGTTCTGTTCTAGTTCTGTTCTAGTTCTGTTCTAGTTCTGTTCTAGTTCTGTTCTAGTTCTGTTCTAGTTCTGTTCTAGTTCTGTTCTAGTTCTGTTCTAGTTCTGTTCTAGTTCTGTTCTAGTTCTGTTCTAGTTCTGTTTTAGTTCTGTTCTAGTTCTGTTCTAGTTCTGTTCTACTATTGTTCTACTATTGTTCTACTTCTGTTCTATTTCTGTTCTAGTTCTGTTCTAGTTCTGTTCTAGTTCTGTTCTAGTTCTGTTCTAGTTGTGTTCTAGTTGTGTTCTAGTTGTGTTCTAGTTGTGTTCTAGTTCTGTTCTAGTTCTGTTTTAGTTCTGTTCTAGTTCTGTTTTAGTTCTGTTCTAGTTTTAGTTCTGATCTAGTTTTAGTTCTGTTCTAGTTCTAATTCTGTCCTATTTCTGTTCTAGTTTGTTCTAGTTCTGTTCTGTTCTAGTTCTGTTCTAGTTCTAATTCTGTCCTATTTCTGTTCTAGTTCTGTTCTAGTTCTGTTCTAGTTCTGTTCTAGTTCTGTTCTAGTTCTGTTCTAGTTCTGTTCTAGTTCTGTTCTAGTTCTGTTCTAGTTCTGTTCTAGTTCTGTTCTAGTTCTGTTCTAGTTTGTTCTAGTTCTGTTCTAGTTCTGTTCTAGTTCTGTTCTAGTTCTGTTCTAGTTCTGTTCTAGTTCTGTTCTAGTTCTGTTCTAGTTCTGTTCTAGTTCTGTTCGTCTGTTCTAGTTCTGTTCTAGTTCTGTTCTAGTTCTGTTCTAGTTCTGTTCTAGTTCTGTTCTAGTTCTGTTCTAGTTCTGTTCTAGTTCTGTTCTAGTTCTGTTCTAGTTCTGTTCTAGTTCTGTTCTAGTTCTGTTCTAGTTCTAGTTCTGTTCTAGTTCTGTTCTAGTTCTGTTCTGTTCTAGTTCTGTTCTAGTTCTGTTCTAGTTCTGTTCTAGTTCTGTTCTAGTTCTGTTCTAGTTCTGTTCTAGTTCTGTTCTAGTTCTGTTCTAGTTCTGTTCTAGTTCTGTTCTAGTTCTGTTCTAGTTCTGTTCTAGTTCTATATTTGTTCGATTTCTATTCAAGTACAATGTTCTGGTTCTGTTCTATTTATTAAATTTAAATTAAATTGTTGTTCAGTCTGAAGGTTATTGTTATTGAAATAAAATTTTTATTAGATTTATTTTACATACAGTTTCAATATTACTATTTAAAAACAACTATGAATTTACATATAACTTCTATACAATTTAGTTACGCTTAATGACTAACTATTTGCTAAAGTAGATATATAAGGTCGCTCCTCACTGGGACAGGCAAACATTTCAAATGGTCTCAAAAGAGTAGTATATGGTTCCGGCTTAACTTGCAACATATCATTCCATAACATATTCGTAAAGGCAGCATTGCCATATTGACTAAAATGAAAACAATCAATGGCAAAATATCTCAAATCGGTGCGTCCATCTTTAAGGGTCCTCAAAGTCTTATTTACTGTCAGTGCACGAGGAACGGCAGCAAAGTCTTCCAATTGAAATTCTGGCAGAGAAGCAACTTCTGTATCAATTTCTTGAAAACGTTGAATATTTTGACGTATTACCTTAAGTTGCTTTGAGCTTAAGGAGTCACTGATAACACAACGACAACTGGCCTTATGCAGAGTCTCACATTGTGCTGGAATACCTTTCATAAGGCGTATGGTAGTGTCGATATTTGGTATGGATATAACATTAACCAATAAACGTGGAATATTTTCTTTAAGTATAGTTAGGGCTCGATGTAAATCACGGCGATGATTTTTAAGGAAATCTTCTATATTGTCGTAGTAACACATATCATTGCAGATATCGTTGGCTCCTATAAATATGGAAATCATTTTCCAGTGTTTCAACATATCCACCTTGGGATCTGTTTGCATACGTTTAACTAAAACTTCCGCCATATAGGGCATATCCTGTGTAGTGGCAAAAGCTTCGGCAGGATTAAAACGAGCTTCACGAAATTTCGCCAAAGTATTGGCCACAGAGTAACCATATAGATTGGGATTGAATACTTTCAATATATTGGGTAGAGTAAGATAAGTTCGCCAATCTTTTAAACCACCTCCCAGTACGGTTTGCCCACGAAATTCTATAAATATTTGTAGTAAAGTTTTCGACATCATGGCTGTACCGGCGGTTATAGAATCACCCATGGCTCCGATAATATCAATCACCGGGTCTTAAGCGGTGAACACTAGTGGGGGGTTCTAAGGAACGACTATTATTTGTGCCACAGGGAAAGGGAACATCTGCGCCTATTTTTGGCTGCATCTTTCCTTCATCAACAATATTTTATAGTTCGTTTTATAGTCCCGATAATATTGTTGGGTTAAGAGATATTTGGTGTCTGCATATAAGTCACGAAATTGCTCCAGATTAGAAGTGAGCAATTTTCCATTTCTAGCACTTTGTAAAGAAAATGGTTTAATTTGGATGTTGGTTTTTTCCAGAAAATATTTTGTGGCCTTGGTTTGTTGGGCAATTGTGTTGGAAGTTAGGGCAACTAAGACAAATACAGACAGTAATCTTGGGACCAACATTCCCATAATTTTGCAGATTTAATTAAATTTCTTTCACTTAAATTCTTCCTTTCCAAAACAATATCTCCTTTAACTCTTTATCAGATCCGTTTTCAAAATCTTTCCTATTTCTTTTCCGTTACCCAGACACTTTTGTTTTAAACTTTCTAACGTTTTGTAAGCAACTGACTATTGAAAAATCAAAATAACTTTACAGCTTCTCATTACAACATATCAAAACCTCGATTTATTCTAATTAAAATTCTAATTCTATTAGAATTAAATAAATACTTAAAATAATACTGCGGTGTATGTTTACAGCTGTTGTAAAATTAGAAAATATACAGCTAAAACAAGTTTTTTATTTCTCAATTTCATTGGAGAAGTTCAAGTTTAAATGGAAAATACATGAAATACCTAATGATGTTTAGATTGAAATACATTTGATTGAGTGTTAATCGAGAGAGATAAATTGCAAGTAAATAAATTAATATTAAAAAAATAAAGCACTAAAAAAATCGTTAGAGCATAAATATTTATGTATTTATAAAAATTTATTAAATTTTGTTCCGTTATAACTGTCGTTCTATAACTACAGTAGGTCAAGATTTTCATTGAGATACTTATCTTTAAAGTATGACGAACATGTTTGATTTTCAAGTTCAATTTCAGTTTACAATCATTTCTAGGTTAGCTTAAGTTTAAATCTAGTTTACTTCTAGTTCTGTTCTAGTTCTTTTCTAGTTCTGTTCTAGTTCTGTTCTAGTTCTGTTCTACTTCTAGTTCTGTTTTACTTATAGTTCTGTTCTACTTCTAGTTCTGTTCTACTTCTAGTTCTGTTCTACTTCTAGTTCTGTTCTACTTCTAGTTCTGTTCTACTTCTGTTCTACTTCTAGTTCTGTTCTACTTCTAGTTCTGCTCTACTTCTAGTTCTGTTCTACTTCTAGTTCTGTTCTACTTCTACTTCTAGTTCTGTTCTAGTTGTGTTCTAGTTGTGTTCTAGTTGTGTTCTAGTTGTGTTCTAGTTGTGTTCTAGTTGTGTTCTAGTTGTGTTCTAGTTGTGTTCTAGTTGTGTTCTAGTTGTGTTCTAGTTGTGTTCTAGTTGTGTTCTAGTTCTGTTCTAGTTCTGTTCTAGTTCTGTTCTAGTTCTGTTTTAGTTCTGTTTTAGTTCTGTTCTAGTTTTAGTTCTGTTCTAGTTTTAGTTCTGTTCTAGTTCTAATTCTGTCCCATTTCTGTTCTAGTTCTGTTCTGTTCTGTTCTAGTTCTGTTCTAGTTCTAATTCTGTCCTATTTCTGTTCTAGTTCTGTTCTAGTTCTGTTCTAGTTCTGTTCTTGTTCTGTTCTAGTTCTGTTCTGTTCTAGTTCTGTTCTAGTTCTGTTCTAGTTCTGTTCTAGTTCTGTTCTAGTTCTGTTCTAGTTCTGTTCTAGTTCTGTTCTAGTTCTGTTCTAGTTCTGTTCTAGTTCTGTTCTAGTTCTGTTCTAGTTCTGTTCTAGTTCTGTTCTAGTTCTGTTCTAGTTCTGTTCTAGTTCTGTTCTAGTTCTGTTCTAGTTCTGTTCTAGTTCTGTTCTAGTTCTGTTCTAGTTCTGTTCTAGTTCTGTTCTAGTTCTGTTCTAGTTCTGTTCTAGTTCTGTTCTAGTTATGTTCTAGTTCTGTTCTAGTTTTGTTCTAGTTCTGTTCTAGTTCTGTTCTAGTTCTGTTCTAGTTCTGTTCTAGTTCTGTTCTAGTTCTGTTCTAGTTCTGTTCTAGTTCTGTTCTACTTCTGTTCTACTTCTGTTCTACTTCTGTTCTACTTCTGTTCTATTTCTGTTCTAGTTCTGTTCTAGTTCTGTTCTTTTTCCGCTCTAGTTCTGTTCTATTTCTATTCTAGTTCTGTTCTAGTTCTGTTCCAATCCTTTTCTAGTTCGTCACTAGGTCTTTATTATTTTGCGATTATTTATATTATTTCTTAAACAATATTTTAAATGTCTTTAAATTTTGTTAAATCTTTAAAATATTCATAACCTTTTACAATTTAATTTTCCTTTTTTTAAATTGTTGCACTTTCTACAATTCTCTTAATATAATATTTTGCATCTATATGCATTAAATACATTTTAATTAAACTTTGTCTGCCCTGTTTTTTTTTCATTCTCCGTTTATCTTGTCAGAAGAAAAGTAGAGCATTAGGTTAAAGATTTTAAATAACTTGTACAAACTCAGAATACCAGACAAGTCAAGTTATAAAAAACACCCCATTTACAGACGAACACACTCCGACACAGTCAACATCCAACCATCCCCTGTGGACCGTATGCCATTTTTTTAAAATAGCAAATGCATTTAAAATGTTCATCTACACATCTACAAAGTTGTCTTCCTTTTTATATGTCTTGTTATTTTATGCAGACAAATGCGGTTTTCAACCTTGAATACTACTGAAGAGAAGAGGAATTGGGAGCTGTTGCTGCCGGCAGCTACAACTACAATAAGTAAATAGATATTTTCAGTTACTAACACAAATGACGTTGTGTGTGCATTTAAAGTATTGCATTATACTATGATTTTATGCCATTCAACTTTTGTCTATAGAGTTTATAATAATAAAAAGAACAAGTCAGACAGACGGACGACGAGAAGACAGACCGACACATACAAAACAGTTTGAATATATTTTTTCTTTATCCGTCTATGTCGGTCTGTCTATACTAAATGAGATTTTGGAGATGCCAGATTATGGAGTTAAAACTGAAAAAAACTGAACTAGAACAGAACAGGAACAGAACTAGAACTAGAACAGAACTAGAACAGAACTAGAACAGAACTAGAACAGAACTAGAACAGAACTAGAACAGAACTAGAACAGAACTAGAACAGAACTAGAACAGAACTAGAACAGAACTAGAACAGAACTAGAACAGAACTAGAACAGAACTAGAACAGAACTAGAACAGAACTAGAACAGAACTAGAACAGAACTAGAACTAGAACAGAACTAGAACTAGAACAGAACTAGAACAGAACTAGAACAGAACTAGAACAGAACTAGAACAGAACTAGAACAGAACTAGAACAGAACTAGAACAGAACTAGAACAGAACTAGAACAGAACTAGAACAGAACTAGAACAGAACTAGAAACAGAACTAGAACAGAACTAGAACAGAACTAGAACAGAACTAGAACAGAACTAGAACAGAACTAGAACAGAACTAGAACAGAACTAGAACAGAACTAGAACAGAACTAGAACAGAACTAGAACAGAACTAGAACAGAACTAGAACTGAACTGGAACTGTACTAGAACAGAACTAGAACTGAACTAGAACTGAACTAGAACTGAACTAGAACTGAACTAGAACTGAACTAGAACTGAACTAGAACTGAACTAGACCTGAACTAGAACTGAACTAGAACTGAACTAGAACTGAACTAGAACTGAACTAGAACTGAACTAGAACAGAACTAGAACTGAACTAGAACTGAACTAGAACTGAACTAGAACTGAACTAGAACTGAACTAGAACTGAACTAGAACTGAACTAGAACTGAACTAGAACTGAACTAGAACTGAACTAGAACTGAACTAGAACTGAACTAGAAGAACTAGAACTGAACTAGAACTGAACTAGAACTGAACTAGAACTGAACTAGAACTGAACTAGACCTGAACTAGAACTGAACTAGAACTGAACTAGAACTGAACTAGACTGAACTAGAAACTAGAACTGAACTAGAACTGAACTAGAACTGAACTAGAACTGAACTAGAACTGAACTTAGAACTGAACTAGAACTGAACTAGAACTGAACTAGAACTGAACTAGAACTGAACTAGAACTGAACTAGAACTGAACTAGAACTGAACTAGAACTGAACCAGAACTGAACTAGAACTGAACTAGAACTGAACTAGAACTGAACTAGAACTGAACTAGAACTGAACTAGAACTGAACTAGAACTGAACTAGAACTGAACTAGAACTGAACTAGAACTGAACTAGAACTGAACTAGAACTGAACTAGAACTGAACTAGAACTGAACTAGAACTGAACTAGAACTGAACTAGAACTGAACTAGAACTGAACTAGAACTGAACTAGAACTGAACTAGAACTGAACTAGAACTGAACTAGAACTGAACTAGAACTGAACTAGAACTGAACTAGAACTGAACTAGAACTGAACTAGAACTGAACTAGAACTGAACTAGAACTGAACTAGAACTGAACTAGAACTGAACTAGAACTGAACTAGAACTGAACTAGAACTGAACTAGAACTGAACTAGAACTGAACTAGAACTGAACTAGAACTGAACTAGAACTGAACTAGAACTGAACTAGAATTGAACTAGAACTGAACTAGAACTGAACTAGAACTGAACTAGAACTGAACTAGAACTGAACTAGAACTGAACTAGAACTGAACTAGAACTGAACTAGAACTGAACTAGAACGAACTAGAACTGAAACTAGAACTGAACTAGAACTGAACTAGAACTGAACTAGAACTGAACTAGAACTGAACTAGAATGAACTAGAAACTAGAACTGAAAGACTGAACTAGAACTGAACTAGAACTGAACTAGAACTGAACTAGAACTGAACTAGAACTGAACTAGAACTGAACTAGAACTGAACTAGAACTGAACTAGAACTGAACTAGACCACTGAACTAAGAACTGAACTAGAACTGAACTAGAGCTGAACTAGAATTAAACTAGAACTGAACTAGAACTGAACTAGAACTGAACTAGAGCTGAACTAGAACTGAACTAGAACTGAACTAGAACTGAACTAGAACTGAACCAGAACTGAACTAGAACTGAACTAGAACTGAACTAGAACTGAACTAGAACTGAAATAGAACTGAAATAGAACTGAACTAGAACTGAACTAGAACTGAACTAGAACTGAACTAGAACTGAACTAGAACTAAACTAAAACTGAACTAGAACTTGAAACAACATACAGGTTTTAATCTGGCATCACTATTTTCATTTCCTCTTCCACTTTCTCCGCCATTTTTCAACTCAAAATGCATTCCTTTGCTTACATGTATTTTCCTCAATGATCTGGCACACAACCACATTAGTTCGTATTTTCGTCTATTCATTCGTTCGTTTTTGTTTTGCTCGTAAAAGGAAATATTCTCCAAGCAATTTAGTTTAGTTGTGCTCTTTGGCAATATTATTTG